CAACATCAGTGTGGTGAGTCCTTGCCAGTTCTGCGGTGTCACTTTCTCACGAAGAGATGCCCACCTTCGTTCATGCATTGGCATTTTCAATGGTGTGTACCTTCACTGCCGTCTTGCTCGAGGTAGGGCTCTTGACCTGGCTGGAAGCACAGGGCAGCCAGGGGCGGCTGTCCTCTCTACACATGTTCGAGAACATGTTCGAACAACGAGGAGAACTTCCAGTCCCGGACGAGCTGAAGTCGGCGACCCAGGACCTCAACCTCCTTCGGTCCCTCCTGCCGGCGATGAACCTAGAACACCTCACGATGGATGTCGACCCGGAGGAGTTCCCGGATCAGGACTTGGACGACCGCCCTCCCAAGTGGCAAAAACCAGGCCCCAAGGGAAGCCAGAGCCGCGGAGGCGGAAAAGGCAACCAGCAAAAGGGGGGCCAGGCCTGGACCTCCGCACACTACTGGGAAGGCAAGGACCGTGCCAACCGCCGCCCCAACAAGAACTGGCAGCAGGCGCCATGGCACCAGAACGGCCACACATCGGACCACGAGCTGACGAAGCGCCAGAACAAACAGCTGTCGGAGCTGAAGGCCATCGTGAGTCTGCTGACAACCCTGGTCTTGCGCCAGGAAATCCAGCTCAATATACACAAGCAAGACACCTCCTACGTGGTGTTCATCAACACTCAGGAGCAGCAGAGCTTGGCGCACACCCTGCACGGCGTGGGTGTACAATGGCACAAGGTGAAGCAGGAGACCCCGGACCAGCTCAGCCACCCGATGAGGGTAGTCATGTTCCAGCACCTTGTGGAAGTGGTTCAGACAAAGTTCCTTCGCATGATCGCCAGCCCCTCATCCAGATCCCAAGCAGCGGAACGAGGACTTCTCCTGGAGAGCAACGGCAACATTCCAGCCCTTCGATGGGACCCCAAGCTGAAGAAGCACGTCCGGGACGACCACATCGAGGCGTTGAGCCAGGCGGAAATCAAGGAGGCCTTGCAGAGGCTGCTTGTACTCTGTACGAAAGACAGGGTACTCATGCGATTCCACGGAATGAGGAAGCTCTCCGACGAGTATGCTTCGCCCACGCTGGGGATGTTCCTGGAGGTGGGCACACGGATCGAAGAGGCCCAGGAGTTCTGGACCTTGCTGCATCGTCTGAGCCAATCAGCCACATGGCTGGCGGCGGGCTGCTTCATGCGTCACGAACGCATACGTCTGAGTGCCTTGGCGAAACGGCTTGCAGCGGTGTCTCAGTGAGTCTGATGTTGCTGGGTAACCTTCAAAACTACTGCTACTCGAATGCTGTTCTCAAGGCCCTGCTTCATATGGCTTGTCAATGTGGCTCCCTGTCTCATGTGTTTGCAAGCCAGCATCACAGTTTCTTGTTGGCGATCGCCCGTCGCTCTCAAGCGACGGTTGTCCACCTGTGGCAACACCCGCTTTGGATCTCCATCGTGAGGGGATGGAAGCACCCTGCCAAACAGCATGATGCCGCGGAGTTTCTTGAGCACCTTTGCCGTAGCTCGCTCATACTTCGTGATAATATCGAATGTGTTTGGCAGGCTCGCAAAGGGGATCATGCCTCATACAGGATAGACGATTGCGGCCAGTCCGCTCCGCTTACGCTCCTGCCCCCGCCAGCTGATTGTGAGAATGTTCATTCTGGTGTTCATTCTAGCGTTTCTATTCAGGATCTGATCAATCAGTGGTATGCTCAGGAGCAGGTCCATGCACTGGTCACGGCCTCTCGAGCTTTGGTCTTGCAGGCCAACCGATTCAATTTTGCGATTGACGCTCACCGTCCTGTTAAAAGACATTACCGTATCTATGCCAATCTGGAGATTGCTTTTCCTTGTTTTGTTTGCAACCATAGTGTTGAATGTTGTCCGGTGAGATATCGTCTCAGCTCAGTGGTGACTCACAGGGGCGAAGCCCCCTCACATGGCCATTACCGAACTCTTCTTTACGATACTACTACTGCTACTCCTACTGTTCGCTTGGCCGATGATGGACGTCCGGCCATTCGAATCAGCCCGGAGCAACTTGATGCTGTGAGCGACGAAACCTACCTGTTCTTTTATGTTCGTTGCTGACCAAATGGCCATGAAGAGCTCCCGCTTTTGGGTATGCGTACCGGGGATCTCTTTTCTTCTTTTGCTTCCTAGGTTGGGTGGAGGATGTGCAATACAGCACAGCCATGCCGGGGCATCTAGGCCCTGTCCTCCTTTTCGTAGCAAAGATGCGTACTTTGCAGCGTCGAAAGTGAAAGTGAAAAAGTGTATATATATATATATATATATGCTGAACCGGACTCGCCCAATCGGGGGGCGTGTTTAAGGTATATGATAGCCGGAATCGCCAAATAAAGGGCGTGTGTGAATTTAAAACAAATATATATATATATATATATGTATATATATGTACATATATATATACATATATATACATTAATATATATATATATATATATCTTTACATGATAAACCGGAATCGCTCAGTGGGGGGGTTAAGATATATGATACCCGGAATCGCCAAAGGAGGGGCGCGTTTAAATACTTGTTTAAGCGGAATCGCCCAATGGGGGGGTGTTGAAGATATTTGATGAACCCCACTGGTCTGGCGTGCCGTGTTTAAGGTATATGATAGCCGGAATCGCCAAATGAGGGGCGTGTGTGAATTTCAAAACAAAAGGATATATATATATATATGTATATACATATGTATAAATATTTATGATAAACCGGAATCGCTCAGTGGGGGGGGGTTAAGATATATGATACCCGGAATCGCCACAGCCACCCCACAAGAGTCCAAAACCCAAAAGCCTAAACCGCTGCTGAGGAAAGACTTCCACGAGCCCGAAGGGCAAAGCGTGGCAGGATTTGTGAGAGAGGTGCTGGAAAGCCCGCGGTTTGAGGATTGTAGGAGCCCTATAGGAACAGGCAAGCGGAAAAAAATACAAAAAAAAAACTGTAAAAAAATACCGAAAAAAGCGCACGACCCAGAGTAAGCAGGGAGCCGGAGTGTAGCCTGATGCCTCTCGGATGCTGCCAACCTGTATGGGCTTGCCATGAGAGGATGCTGCATGTGTAATCAGGTTCCGAAAAGTTGGAGTCGGCCATGCTTTCTTCGATGTGGACCACAACATGATGGCTGAGCTCTCGGCAAATTATTTGTGAACATGGCAGGGGGGGCCAGATTGCAGCTTTGAAGCTGAGGTAGCCACGGATTACATCTGCGACTATAGCTACTACAACATCCACAACTTCCATGCCGTGCACCAAGCGAGGTCACAGCAGGGTGCGTCAATCGGGCTCGTTTAGACTTAGACATTACGATCCAAGATTGCATCTTCTGCAAGCACGAGGCCCATCCTTTGAGCAGCAACGCGATTCAGTTCCTGGAGGCTGCCGACATGTAGTCGAAGCCACGCGGTTTGGTCCCATGACAGTCGTACCAAGCCTGAAACTTGTGGTGACTTCATTGTGAAACTTGTTGTTGAGCTCACATTCGCATGATAGCACTGCTTGTGTGGATCAATCTTTGCCGATCTGCGCACCACATACCAGGGTTTCTACCGCGTCCCCGTGGATCCGGGCTTGTTGGCATGGCGCCTTGCTTATTCGAGCTCAGTTGACTGAGTTTCCTGGCATGGCGTTGCAAAGGCGTCCACACTGAATGTGAAACATCGTAGCTTGCTTGTCACCATCCCCTCGCAATCTCGCAAGCTTAAAAGACGTTGCCAGTATATAAATCGATGCATATGTAACATCCCGAATGACCTAGAAAGCTCAATGCACTTATCTCTCGGCCGTACTCGCACGTCGGCCACACGTGAGCAAAGCATGCCTAGCACCTTAGCAGTGTAGCACAGGATTCGGATGCACTCCGTTTGGGGTTTGGTAATGTGAGCAGTCACGAAAAGCTCCCACTGTTGAAGAAACAGCGGCAGCAAAGCTGTACAGTTTATCCTGTATTTATCCTGACCTAAAAGTGGCCTGCACGTCGGGGAGGCTTTCTGAGTGCCACAGGGCTGCGGCCGTCGTTTCTGCGTCTCTCTCCCGCAAGTGCTGGCCCTGCGAACTAAGTGGCAGCCCTTCATCCGGCCGACTCCTCCCGTACGTACCTTGTGTGTGGCCCTGGCTCTCGCGTAGGTCACGATGTGCACATGTTGCTTCGTGACTTCTTGTCCGATCCTCTCGTAGCACCAAGGCGTGGTCAGGACTCAGCAGTGGATGCTGTGCGCTTTGGCAGCGAGGCTAGCGGCTACCGCCAGCAGGGCCAGCCCTCACTGCAATAGAGGTGATTGCATGTGTTGTGTGTGTTCTGCCTCCCCCCAAGCGAGCTTGGGGCAGTCGCCGCCCATCACATGTGTGCATTCAAGTGCGGAGGTCTTTTCCCTAGCCATGCCGAAGCTGTGGCAACTGACTGCAAGGAAAGCTGCGTGCCTGCAGAAAAGGTGGACAGGACCCAATCCATCAAGACAGTAAGGCCTTTTCGTGGCGCAGAAAGCCAGCGAAAGCCAGATGTCCGCTGTCCACATGCCGGTCGAGCTGCCTCTCTGACGTTGCCCGTCGATCCAGAGCCGTCACCAAGGAATCTAAAGAGGAAATCTAAGATGAACTGCTGCCCGCGCTTTGTGCATGAGTGAGAGATTCATGCATGGAGTCGTGGAGTACACATGCATCACAGCTTCGCTGCTGTGCAGCAGATCCGGTATCCACAATCCTCGACCGTAGGGGCAACACCAACTTTGTCGGAGCATGAAATGTTGCAGCCCATTACGAAGGTAGCAGCATGCGGCACGAGCGTCCTGTTCGGAGGCGGATCTGCATGCAAGCTCTCCATTCCTTCACAAGGCTGGCAATGTAATGAATGCATTCGTGCCTTCTAGGAGACGTGCATGTTAATGTTCACCTGCGAGTGCTCGGCTCAAGCTTCAAGCAGAGTTGGATACAACAGCAGCTGCGCCACGCCCTGCGTCACGCCTGCGCTCGCTTGAAAATGACCGTGCTTGATTCGGATGCAACTACGTTGATCTTCAAAACTTACAAGAAGATGACCTACAAGGACGGGTGTGTTTTCAGTTCCGCCACTTGAGCATCGTTGCTTCGTTTCAGTAGCCTCGTATTCACGGCACTGACGTAAAGCTCACCGGAACACCTGTCGGTTGCCCTGTCCGTAGAAGTTGTATGTCCAGAAGCACCGGACAAGATCACTCCCGTGGTAATTCATCATCAGATCTTTGTGGTGGAGGAGTTCTTGGTGGCATTGAGCTATCATTGGCCTGCTGCTGTGCAGCTGGGAACTGCCCCTTGGTAAGTCCAAACACAATCCTTAACACCTAGCTGCACTCAACAAGTCCTAAGGAAGTCTCTGTAGAGTCTTGATCGCCACCTTTGATTGAGAATATATCAACACGACATAGCTTCGCAGTCATACGTGAGCTAACCACTCCTCATGACAATGCCGCATTACCTGAGGTTATCGACTTCGTACATTTGCCCTGGAAGAAGCTGGTCACCAGACAGAAAATAAATAGAAAGTGTGTGTGTGTGTGTGTGTGTGTCTGTGCCTGTGGTCTTCGCAGACACTGGCATCGTCGAATTGTCGCTAGTGTGTCAGCCTAGCTTGTCGGTTCTGAGACTTTGGTCTCTAAGGCGGTCGTGAACTTCACGTCGCCCACGGCATGCCAGAGTTGTTTTCAGACGCTGGCACAAGCAAAGGGGAAGTCGAACATGATGATCTCGGACTTCAAGCAAGCAGAGCATCAGGGCTTGTCGGAGAACTTGGCCCTCTTCCTCACCAAAGCCATCACCTTGAACTCTTTTGACTCGCAGAGCAAGCCCCACGTGTTCTGGAGTGGAACGGAGATACCCTTATCCATGGCCTGTGCCAAGTTCTTACCCCCGGAGATGGTGCTGCCAGAGATTGCATCAGCGCAGGAGACAAAGCCGTGCGTCCCGGAGACTACGTCCTTTGAATTCCCTCCAGGCCTCAAGCACAGCTCAGTGAAGCCGCAGTTCAGGGCAAAAGAGTCCGGAATCTGCATCGGTGAAGATCTCCTCGACTGTGTGCACGTGGGAATCTCTGCAGCATCGCAGGCAAGACAGTCTCTATAAGTCTATAAGCGGCAAGGCAGGTCCGGTTGCAAGATACTGCTACCCAATACACGTGTTCTGATCCCATGTGCCGGAAGTCCAGGGTCCTAATTTCCCATCATAGAACACAGCCGAGGAGAAGAAGGAATGATCGTGTTCCGGCTATGAGTGTGGGGCACCCAGCACATGACACTCCGCAAAGCCCAGCATGCCCTTGCAGACGACTTGCGGCCTGCAGGCCATTGCATTTGTGCAAGACTTGCATAGGAAAGCCAACGCCGCACTGCTTTCAACCTTTGTTTTGCTTGTGGTTGGGGAGCTGGGCTCAAGGTCACAAGGTTGCGGAACTCGCGGCCCTCAGAGATCCTTGGCATCTCGGCAGCCATTTTGAGGTCCCAGCATGTCCCAGCCCTGGTGCGAAACGACTGGGCACGATGCTGGAAGCACGAAGCGCACGCCAGCTCGAGAACACGCGCCTAGTTCCCGAAGTGGGGTCCGAATTCCGAAGCCTCCAGTGCCGAAAGAAGGCATTGCGGCATTGCTGAGCGCCTGACGCTCAAAGTGCGAACCATCTGCCAGCAGAAGCTGAGAAAAGCGGACACAGGCAGACACCACATACACATGGGGGTTTCCGAAAATGTACCCTAAGCAGTAGGATCTCTTATTATAAGGACCCTAAAATGAGGTACCCCTGATATTCGGAAACTCCCATATGTAGGCAGGCACAACAGAAATATGCAGAAGCCGGTGTCATGCGTTGGACCTCTGCTCTAGGGTTCCTTTCCTGGACACGAGGTTCCTCTTATCTCCTGTACTGAGAAACGATAATCGTTAAACTGCACCCAGTTTCCTAGATCCGAGGAATTGTATTGGTATCAGCACTTAGCCACGCGTGAGGTTTCGAGGGTTTCATGAATCATTTGCCTGCAAAGTGCAGGGAGTCTGGTGGCTGACCCTTTGCTTGCCAAGGTTTTCCTGCGATTCGAGATGAGGAGAGAGCAAGTCACAGTGGAGCTGTGCACTTCGCATGCGGGCCCACGGTAGAGAAACTGCCTCTATAGAAGGCTTTGGAGAATTGTTTCACCCAGCTAGAGAAGCCTGGAGCCAGTCGGGGTGTCCGCGCTCCCGGGCTTCCACCTCTTTGCATACGGTCCATGGCATTGGAAGGGTAGAAAACTTGAGATGAAAGCCAAACTCGGCCAGATTTTTCGAGATATCCGGCCGCCATCAGCATCCATTCTCCATGGACTCACTCACTTCGGCCGATTCGCACCAGCATCTTTGAACGGCTCCCAACCCCGATTGCCAAGACGCAAGGGTTGGACCTGCCACGCGAGCTCTGGAAGCGCTTCATTTGCTGCAATGCGTTTTTTGCAGGAGGGGGTTTCAGGAAAATGTGTGCAGAGGTGCTCTGAGGCGACCTGGTTTGCGGAGCAAATAAAGCGACAAACTCGCATCGTGGCACTGCTGAGCATGCGGCTAAGGCCGCAGATGTAGCTGAGACGAGAAGTGCTGCATCTTGGTCTGGTAGATGGGCTTCTGCAAGATGTATGGCAATGCAGCAAGCACATAGTGTACAATGAAGGGCATTCGAAAGCAACTTTAGTTCTGGTGGGCGTGTCACGTCACGAGTTGGCATCGCAAGCTTCGGGGGCTTAGGAAATGAGGGGTCCCTCTGTCGGGTACAATTTGGATCCCCTTACTCGGGTCACGAATCTGTCCTAACTTTTGAAGCTCCCAGAGCATGGCCCAACATGGCCAGTGGTTTGGGAAATGCTACTCAGTTGTCCGAACTCGTTGCAGAAGCCCTGAAGGTAGTGTGGAAAGCGACAAAACCAAATCCCCTTGAGCTGACCACACTTCGTGCAGCGTGTCGAGCTTCCCTAAGAATCTCTCGATTCTGGCAGGCCTTTATCCTTTCATCGTAGTTCACCCCAAAAAACGTGGGACTACTCTCTTCAGATGGTTTCCGACGGCTCGACCTTCACCTTGCAGTTCGTGCTTGGAGAACAGACGCCATAAACTGTAAGACATCTATTTGACATGTGTGCGTGTCTGAAACCATCGTGCAAGAGCGGATTGACAAGTCACCAGAACGCAATTCGGCTGCGCAGGGCGCAGAAAGAAGCCGACACCATTTTCGGGCGCTCACGCCAACTGCAAGATACGAAAATTCCAAAAAGCGCTGCTAGCCCAGCCCTTGCAGTCCAAGGACGAGGTAGGTCCTTGGTAATGCTGTGAGCTGGAGCGGGCTGCTTGTAGCGGAACTCCAAAAATTCTTGCGGGTCAGCGATTCTGCAACACGTCACAAGTCCAAAGCACCGAGTTATGGCGTGGTGCCGACGTAGCGGAGGAGGCTGAGACACCTTGTAGTGTAGTGCTTCCCTTGCAAAACTATTGGCACCATGCAACTCGGATTGCTTAACCAACAAGCTTGAGGTCATCTGAGTCGTCCAAAGATTTAAGCTTGGGAGTAGGAGTTTGGCATTCGCGTGTTTTCAGTACGCTTTGATGCCCTAGTTGCGACTGAAGGCCGCAAGTTTTAGTAAGCCCATACTTGACATGCTTCAAAGTGCAGACTCAGACTCAGATATCTTTGCACAAATGAGCACTGTAGCAAAAGTCGGCAACTCCTCACGGAAGAGCGCATGCACAGTGTAGAGACTTTCTGAGGAGATGCCCTGAACGGTGGTATGGATGTCTGCTTGTAGCCGGAGACATCGCCTCTCTGCCTCACCATTAGAGAGATGTGGCCAGGGTAGAGAAGCTGGGGCAACCTCCCCCGGCAACGCAGTCTTCCACGTGACGTTGGAAAGCTTGACGTTAGATTCAACAAAACCGTGGCAGAGAGGTGCGAAAGAAGGCTACCAATAATGCTTTCGTCCCGGAACACAGCAACATTTCTCCATGCGCATCGTCTCGAGCACCTTGCACTGTTCAAGATCATAACAAGTCAGATTAGCTATGTTCGGATCGCGATGTGCTCATGTGTTCCCGGCATGTGCAATGCATCCATGCCATGCTTGTAGACTCATAGATTCTTACTCGTCCAAGTCGTCATGATATTGCTGCCGTGCCGATTTTATGCTGCAGTGACTTTAGTTTATGATGTGTGGCCGATAGCAGCTGCGACCCAAAGTTTTCAGCTTCGAATTTGCTGCAACAGTTCTCTGTCCAAGAAAAATAACTGTAAAGATGCTCATGTAACTGTATAATTGTGCTCTGGTAGCAAAACGACGGCTCCGGACTGCAACTTCGTCATGCCATTCCTTCTGATGGTAACTTGTGCGGCGAGCGGAGTTGAAAGACCGTGACTTCAGGCACATGTTCATTGCAAGGTGCCCCAGGACACAGCACGTTCAGTTAAGCATGGCTCCTGGTGCAGGCGATCAACAGGGCCTCCTAGCCAGCTGCCCATCTTGCTGTCTGCGGAAAACTGGGACCAGGAAATCCTTCAGCACCAGTTCTGATAGGCCGCAGCTGAGATCAGCTGAGTTTTTTCGCTTCGCATGTGGTCTCCTTCAGGCCTCGGTGGAGCGCCGACCCGATCTGGCCAGGCCAAGTGGAGTCTGCAAGCGCGTTGCAAAAAGGGTGGCCCGAAAAAAAGAGACCAAAAGTTTACGATTCGAGAAACATGATGTGCTCATGGGCACGATTTCGCAGAGATACAGAGATGCAACTTCTGGTTCTCGAGAGTTGAAACTTCGCACGGCAAAAGACTGCCAGTTCAGCACCTTATCTTGTGTGACACATCCATACAAATACATGTCAATAATAAAACGATATCAAGTACATGTTTGTGATTATGCGCGCAACCCTCTTACCAAGAGTTTATCATAAATCAGTACAGCAACGGCCCATCTCTACGTTCTCCAGTCAGAGATGTGGCCGAGCAAGAATCAGAACGGAACACGATTCCGTGTTCCTGCCTGAGTTGCAATAGATGATGTGGTCGATAGGCAGTGGACTCACAAAACCAACACACAATGGCATAATACTATAGCAGCATTTGATCAAGCCTTGAGTCCAGCTGGCTCTATCCAGGCATTCTGATCGCAGGTTGGAGGCTGCGGATAAATCAGTAAGTTTTGTCCTCCGTTCCCTCCTGCGCACTTGAGCCAGTTGCCGCCCCATGTTGGTCGTACTAAGGGGGTTCAGGTCTGGGACCCGCTAAGCCATGTGATTCGTACTTGCTGCAGCCAAGCCCCAAGTCAGTTCAGAGGCCTGAGAAGCTTGTGGCTCACAGATGGGTCACTCCGGTGTTTAGGTATGCTGCGCATCACCACTTAATATCGAATTACGTAGCTTCGCGCATGCACTCTCGGACAGGGCGTTGTGCATGCAACGTGTTTGGCATCATCAAACTCTTGAGACGCTCGTGCCAGGCAGCCCAAACCAATGAAACGTCGAACCACTCTAGATTCATCCCGCCCGACACCGAGCAAAACGGCTTGTGATCCTCGGTGCACACCGCAAGTTCCATTCTGCAGCTGCAGCTGCCCAACCGGTGGCGGGGGGGGGGCCTTTCAATCACGTGCAAAAGCACATAAAAGCACGCGATTTGAAACAGCCACGTGGCCAAGATGGATGCATGTTCCTGCTGCCGGGCTCGAGACTTGTAGTTGTTACATGGCACGCGAGTCTTTTGTAACATAGGGGGAGCTAAGGCAAGGTCTCCCCCGCACTTATCCAAATGCCCTGTCCTGTGTGTTATGGCTTTGTCCCCTGCCCAAGATCCCCCGAAGTCATCCCTAAGCCTAGGCCCTAGTCTTCGTGCGTTTCCAAGCAAAGCTTAAGCTCCAGAGTCCTCGGCCTCGGGGTCTTCGTAGGATGACAAGCCTGTGGCGCGCCATCTCGGGGAAGCGCAGCCCGGAGAGCGATCCCTCGGAGGTGCTGAATATGTGTAATAAACATAATGTTAGTACGTAGTAACAATACTAACTATAATAGTAATATCATTATTACTGCGGATTAGAGCCGAGAGCCTTTCACATTTTGCTTGAGTATTTTGAAGCCCTGGAGGCATCACGGCCAAGCGGTTGGCTTCCCCCCATCCTTCAAAACGCCGAATCTCACGAGAGGCACCTGCAGAGGGAGTGACTGTTGAGAACTGCAGAGCCATTTCTGTTCCAGGGACGACTTCCACCTGATGGACCTCCGGCTGCAGAGCCCCTCAAGAAGTCGATGCGGGTCGCGTGCCCGATCAAATCAGTCTGGGCAGAGTACGCCGCAGTCTCAGCAGGGAACACTGATTGTTGGACTGGCAACTCGGCATTGGAGCTTGCCGTTCAGGAACCGGGCGTTGTCCACTCCGTCGACTTCGACGCCCCTCTCGTTGCCGCCCATCAGCCGCAGTGCGACACCGCATTCCCCATGGACCCCGGCAAGGACGAGGATGCACAGCACCTTGAGCGGCAAAAGAAGTATCAGCAGAAGTTGCCGGATCGTTTCAGCCAGGACGAACCCATAATAATGTCAAGAAAGATTGCGAGACGATTTGCAAACGAACGGTTTGGAATTCCTGTGCAGAAAGTGCTCTGGACTATACCGCCGGCCTGAAGTGTCGAAACCTTTCATTTCGATGTTCCGGTGGTTGGACTCTGACTCGTGAACTTAAAGCCATGCTGTTCTTCCATCTTAGCTGCCGCAGCCGTTCCTGCATTTTAAGGCTTTGACCGCGCGGGCTCTGAGACGTCCACCGTAAGTCCCAACTCGCTTTATATGAGCATGTTGCCCGGCAGCATTCTGACCTGCTTCAGGGATACACGCACTCGACCGTAACGAGATGATTCTGGCACAAATTTGCGATGACATGGCGATCGCGTTTGTCCAGAGCTGGAAGATAGCATGACGAGCTGCCGAGCCGGATTTCGGAGCCAAGGTTTCCATCGCCAGCGAATCAAGTGGGCACGCCGGGAGTGGGCACTCCACACCAAAGCAGCAACCGGGGTACGCCTGCCCATCGAAACGGTCCAAGTCCAAGTGTCCTGGCAGGTGTTGCTTTGTGGGTTAGAAGGACCTTTGTGAATTCCGGTGCTTGTCAGCTCAAAGTGCCGGAATTGAATAGCTGTGGCTCTTTCATCACCCGGCGCCTGTCCAGCTGTGCAACAATCATCACAAGGTCCTCATCAGTGTGCGAGAAGCCCCGTCATGTGGTCGGACGAGTACACAGATAGATCTTTGCGTACCTTCATGGTTGCCAAGAGCCGGAATCGCTTTGCATCACGGCTGCAATTGCAAGACGGAGTAGAAATTAATGTGGGGGAATAGTGGAGTGAGCTACTTGCTGGTGAGGCCTCGACGGACCCCGGCTTGTGTGTCCTCTTCGTCCTCTATGCTTCGCTCGCTCCTGAGAACGTTGAAGGGGTGTTGCGGATTACTGCGACTTGCCCGCCCGAAGTGAACTGCAGGCCTTTGGCAAATTACTTGCCGATAGACTTTGAGTCGGAGATTGACCGCATTGTGTGCAGCGCGAGGGATTCCGGCAGACTGCAGACCGGGCAGGCCCGTTCTTCCTTGTTCCCCGCTGTCAAAAGCTTGGAAGGTACAGGTTGCTTAAGTCCAACCCAACTCTGACAGTTGAGGCGCTTTGGCATAGGCAAAAGCACGGACTGGCACATTCGGGGCCACATCAGCCGCGTTATTCTCATGCTGATCACGGCTGATCCCCGCTTTGAATTCATTCGTCCCGACTCTATTTGCCGGCAGTGAGAAGGACATAAGGCCGAAAAGGCACTTCCCAGCAAGCGAGCATCGCCCCAATCGAACAATAGTGTCATGGCGTCATTGATATTGAAGCATCCGCAGTTTGCACTTTCGTATCTGCTATAGTTGCACACACCTGCTTGATACTGTCCTGGGAGAAGGTGAGACTCAATGTTGGCACGGCTTCCTCTTCCTCGTTGACTAAGCTGCTGACGCTGTCGCACGCGCAAAGGCAGGGTTTTCAAGATCGAGTCTTTCATGCGGGTCGGATCCTGAAAGGGACACTGTTACACAGCGACGAAAGCTCTCAACCGGAGGCAGCTAAGGGCACCATTCGAAGCCACAGAAGGCTTCACGGCTTCTCGGCTCTACGCAGTGTGCCATCGATGATCCCTCTGGCAGGAGCGGCCTCATCCTGCATTTAGCAGCCCATGGCGACGAGGACGAGCGGCCGAAGTTGGCGTTGAGTTGTTCCTTCGTTTTGCTCGACATGCTCCGCTGCTTCAGGCTGGTGGTCTCATTCTGGAGAGCACGAAGGGAACAGGAGAAGTCCATAGCTGTAGCCATGCGACACGGCTTGCAAATTCAGGGAAGCAGACGCACTGTTTTCAAAAATGTTCCGAACAGTCGCTCGCTTCGTCTCTGGCAATTGGCGGACTCCCCTTTCGATTTTCTGCGCCTCCCTCCCGCTTGTTCGAGGCATTGGAATTCCCGCGTTGTGCCTGAAATTGCACCGTCATTTCCGACTTGAACCATCATGAACCATCACCAAGGAGAAGCTCAGGAAGATCTTGAACGTGGGGGGACGTGGCCTGCGTGGCGTTTCTCTGGTCTTCCTGAGTTCCTGCAGCTCAAAGAAACTTGCACAAGCTGCTCGGATGACTTCAAGATTCCTGTTTGAATGTTGTCGAGGTTCTCCCGACTAAGGTCTTTATCGACTGCGGCTGTCAGCACGTCATTGCGACAAACAGGACTTCTTGAGCACAGTACGATAACAGCAAGTCACTTGTACAGGTGGTAACTCGTAACTCGTAGCTCTGCTGGTGGTCACAGGGGAATTGCTGTCACCAAGCTCTCGGGCTGCTGTAAGCCACACCGTGCTACGGTAAACCGCCTTCTTGTTAGCCACAAGCCGAAGTTTCGTCAGAAAACATGAAACCCTAAATAAAGATGCGAGTTTTAAGAGCCTCCTGCGAAGTGGGCCAGGGTCGGTCAGCTTATGCCAGCTTTCTGTTGAGGTTGTGGTGCTGTAGAATCCGAATGCCCAAAGTCTCAGCCTGCAGCTGCAAATCTACAGTTTATTTACAGCAGCTACTGGTTTGTGCATCAAGCCATCTCGAGCCACATCCTTGTTCTCCGGAGTTTGTCAAGTTGTCTGCAAATAGGCTAGCAAGCATTTAGCACCATCGTTGCAGGACAGTTCTCGATGCCACTGCGCGAGCTTTCACTGAGCGCTTCTACGGTGCGCTTTTTGTTGGAAAGTCGCTCCGTCAGCATTTGAAGTCTGGGATTGAGCGGGAGTGCAGCACAAAAGCAGTTGTGCCGGTATACAGGCTCACTGTCACCTGGTCGGGCGAGTTGAGTGGGAAGTCATCTGAGAGATGGGCACCACCAAGGTCGATTGCATCAGCTTTCGAACACACGAAAGAAGCGCTGCTCGCCAGTTCACACCCAGAGGCCGCTCTTCAATTTTAGGGCTGAATTCCCAAAGTCGCAGCCAGCTCGAACCAGGTGGCAGATCAGTCGAATGCCTTCCTCTTGCTCACGAACCATGACAGACTGGAAGGCATCTGAACTTGACGCGGGTTCCACATTCCAAGCATTCCCTTCAACACTCGCCAATCTTCGTGAAGTGTCCCGACATGACCGCCAGAAGTGCTGGTAAGTGCGTCCTGCATTCAGTAACAATCGAATCAATGGCGGAAGGCGGCGACTGTCCCTGCACTGGCATGGAGGGCGATGGGTCGTGGCAGCTCATGGAGTGTCTAGAGAGGCCTGCAAACCTGACAGCAGGTTCAGCAAGGGATGGTATGCAAAGGTAACGGAGAGCAGGCGAAGACTTCGGGACATAGAGACACGGCTTGAGCTTGAATAGTTCTCGGAAGAGGTAGGCTCCGCGATCAGACATCAGTAATTGGCGAGGTTTGACGTCGGTGCACCGTCTTCCTTTTCCTTTTGTTGAGAGGACGGGGGAAGTGCGGGCATCCACCCTGAGGCCGTCGTCGGTTCTCAGCCAACGCGACACCGATATCGAGGGCTTCCAGGAGCTTTCTCACGACTCAGACCGTTCCAGACCAGCGAGGGGAGGATGCCATAGGATGCCCTTTTCTTGTCGCCAGGAGGCATGCAGCTTCCAGGACGGCGCAAGCCTGCAAGCCGATGCATATCGATATCTCATAGATCCTCATTGCTCATAGGCACAGCGGTGCAGTTGCCGTGACTTCCATGGCTTCAGTCCAGGACAAGCTGACGTTCCTCCCGCCCTCGGTGGAAGACTTCTTTCGTCCACCGGTCATGCAGCAGGAACGGCACGACGGAGGGCTTTGCATAGCTTGCCCAAGGCCCCCGCACATGCCTCAGGTTTTGATGCTTCTTCGTAACCGTCGAGCCTGTGCTCTACATGGCCCGGAGGCGCAAGGAGAGTTCAAGCACGATGTTGCATGTTGAAGGGCCCGCAGAGATATGCGCAGATGGTCAGATTGCCCGTGTCTTCCTGGTTTCGGCCGCTTGGAGTGTGTTTCACTGCTTTGACACGTGACAGGGCATCGGGAAGACCGCACTGGGTGTGGAAATCGCTCGATTCGCCGCAAGTCCGGGCAGGCCTCGATGTGCAAGCATTTCTTTCTTGTGCGATCCGTTTCTGAAAGAGCCGCATTTCAGGCTGTTTTCAAGCAACGTGCTCCACGTCCAACTGGATCAGAAGAGCAGAGCTGTCAAGACTGTCAAGGAGACTTGCCACCTGCGTTGCTCCCCGAAGAACGAAGCATCGGGAGAGCGTATGAGACATAATTTGATGTGTGGCACTACTCGCTGCTTTCACCACTCCTGGTGGGACTTGTGCTGGCAAGGACGACGTTATCTAATTGGAGGTATACGTGCCTGTGTTTGTAGTCATACCCAGAATTTGTACTTGATCAAGATTGAGCAAATGTCACATCCAGCATCTGCACTCTGATCTGCTACGCGAGCAGATCGCCATTTCTCGAGTCAAATCAACCTTGCTTGGGCTTCTCTTTCGCCTTGCTTTTGCTCATGCACACACGCACGGACCTCTGTGGACGTTCAAGATGTCCAGAGGCGTCTTCAGCCTGGTAACTGGTTTAAAACCTGCGTATCCAGCTCCTCCATGCTTCCGGCATCGCGAAACGTGTCAAATACCGCTCCTGTGTATTGGCCAGGAGTGCGTCGACTTTTTCATGGCCAGGCACGAAGTTAACATGCACCTGGTATAGCAGTCAAAGGTCAGAAGGGACAGGTTCACATTCTTTGCGAGCAACGTACAGAGCTTGCATGGCGCCAGGGCTGGACCATGCTCGGTGGCAGAAGCGCCGGAAGGTAACAGCCGCTGCGTTGTTTGGCAGCTGCAACAACTAGAGCGGCGCCTTGGCAGATCAATGCAGCCAAATCACCCTGTCAACGTTCTGACAAGTGGGGTTAAAAGACTGGCATTTAAGTCAAGGCTCCTCCGATGCCGCAGATTTTAGGGCAGTTTGCATTGACTTTTCAAACTGGACGCAAGGTTCAGATCTCATGCGCCAATCCTCCTGGTGCTGGACGACGAATGCCACGCTCTGGAACAAAGCAACTCTTTGCGAGGCAATATCACGCGTGCGCTCATAGCTTCATGCGAAGACTGAGCATCTGGACTCGTTGGCAGGCCGTTCTAGCCAGCACGTGCACCAAACTACTGCTGCCCGTGACAGAAACTAGTAAACGACAGGCATACCAGCACAAAGGCTTCTGCCCCGGAAGTGCCCGCAAGTCAAGCTGCTGCAGGTCTGCTGGCCGAAGTGCTGCGCAAGACTCATCGTGTAACGCTGCTGCTTTGCTCCCGATCCCCATTGCACGAGTCATTGGCGGACACAAAGGTAGTGTGACTTGGTCTGAGAACGACTAAACAGCAACAGCCAAAGGTGGTGTCAGGCAGAGGCAACATGTTATGCCAATAGTTGAAGCTTTCACGCTGCAGATACGACTGGTGAGATCTTGCTGGAAACATTGTGAGAGTGGGCACATGAAGACAGCGTACTGTGAGTCCTCGCAAACGAAAGCCTGCTGGTCGACCGAAGGGTTCCTTGAGCCGCCTCACTGCCCGAGGAACATTGAGCTCGCTGGTCTTGATGAACAGAGCCACTGCGGCAGTTCAGGAATAGTTGAAGCCAAAGCTTGATTGCTTCAAGAACATGCGTGCAGACAGTGGACAACTGAGGCGATGTGCTAGCCTCCTGCTACGGCGTGTGCATCGCCCGCTGGGCCCAGCGCCTGCCCAGCAATCCAGATTGCACTCATAGCTAGCAGCACGACGAGAATCAGCACGCAAGCAAGAGCATGTTGCAAGCAAAGAGTGCAAACAAGACAAGCTGATACAGTTATACTCGTGCGTACATACAACATGGTCCTCCAAGGCGGACTTCCTTGATTCGGAGAATCTCTCCGAGGCCATGGCCCCGTTGTGTTCAGCAACGTTCCTCAATGTCAGTTGCTGCCACCGCTCCTACGAAGAAACAACCTACCACACCTGCAGCTCCGACTGTGAGTTTCCGTGCCTTGCTGTGAGAGCAGCAATAGGAGAACTGCTAGTCGTCTTCGTGATCGCCGTAGTCGTCTCGCAGCCGTCGTCGTCATACTATTTGCGCCAGTGCGCCAGTACGATTAGTGATCGTAGTGGGCAGCAGCAGTAGTGGCTTACATGCGGTAGTAGAAGCACGACTGCTGCTACTACCACCACCACTACCACTACTACCACTACTACCGCGACTACCACTACTACCACTACCACTACCACCACTGCTGCTACTACTACTACTACTTCTACTTCTACTACGACTACTGCTACTACCACCACTACCGCTATCACTACCACTACCACTACCACTACGACTACGACTACTACTGCTACTACTATTCCTGCTACTACGACTACTACTAGCAGTACTAGCGGTACTGCCAGTACAAGTACCAGGACTAGGAGTAGTGGGAGTAGTAGTAGCCCTGGCAGTGGTAGTAGTAGTGGTCGTTGTGGTGGTAGTGGAACTGGCAGTGGCAGTGGTGGTGGTAGTAGTAGTCGTCGTCATCGTAGGGAATCAAGAGCAATAGCACGAGACACAGCAGCAGCTTTGGCAAGAGTACTACGCATTCGTTGAGCACTAGTCACATTTTGAGAGCAGTTGTGGTCATGATGCCGTCGGCCATTACAACCCTTATGACTATCGTCATTGTCGCGATCGTTCTGTTGTTATTGCTAGCCCCCGTACTCTTATGACAATCATTTCTAAAGCCTTCACGCATGGCTGCAGGACAGAACGCGGGCGCAGCTGCGGCAGGCGGCAGAGGTCGCAAAGCACCTCGACAAGCAGAGCGCGTAAATTGTAAACACCAAGCCTCCTTTGTAGTTGACAAGAAGGTTGTCTTCAGCAGCCAAACCAATGCTGGCCGAAACTTGAAGTCGTCACTTGCAAGGCTCGGTGTGCGTAATTATGGACTTTCCCAAACAATTCGCTAACTGAGCCTTGTGGTGGCTCTTTCAAGACTTGTTCGCTGAGGCTCCTCGTTGCCAGCAAGGTCCTTGTACCACTGGCTGGGAATCCAGGCGTGGGGTCATCAAGCAAAATGGATACGGTGCCCGACGATTCCTCTCGCAACCACTCGCAGGACTCGTCCGGCAAGTGGGCTCTCAAATCTACCCCGGTGGACCTCCACTGCGAGAGGTGGTACAGGAAACGGTGCGCTGCTGCAGCCTACAACGTTCTCCTGTGACGAACAAAGCTCAATCAACATTGTCCACAATTCTTTGCAAGGTCCTATCACCGCCACCACCGGCCACGAGAGACGTGAGCAGAAATTCGTTGCAATGAGAAGCATAGCATCCTGGGGCGAGGTGAAATGGCTGCACTGCAGATCCTCCGGGAATGCCCCCCCTTGAAAGGCTGATCGTTGCTGCTGCCACAAAGGTGTGAATGGCTGAGGGTGCTCAGCAGATGTAGGGCCCTACGAGGTAGACGTCAAGATATGAGAAGCAGATTGAAGGGGCTTGCCCAAAGGTTCTGCCAGTAAGTGGCGCAGGCTGACATTGTGTTGGAGCAGCACTATCCAAGTTGGCTTCTCCATTCCAGTCCCACTCGTGGTATTCTGGAGATGTCTATCATAGCCTCACACATCACACAGAATACAAGAAGCATGTTGCCCAGCACAAGTCTCCTTGCGACGTCTGCGCCCTTCCCTCAGAGAGTGTTCGCAACAACTGCGGATCGGGTTTGATTTGAGCGGCCTGAGACGAATCTGGGAGTCCTGCATGCTGCTAAGTCAGACCATTACAGAGACAAGTCAAGGTTGGACCGCATGATGTTTTGTCTGATCCCTTAAGCACTATTCCGACTTGCACGCCTGAATGCATGTTACACGCATGCTTGGCATGCTTTCGCTCAAAAAGCCTGTCCTCCGCCTCGTCCGCTGTTCAGAGTGGATACTCCATGTTCGAAACGGAGGCCACATTACTATCTGGCAGCGCCAGTTAAGATTCTTACTTGTAGTGGTCAGAACTGAGATCGAAAATATTATAGAACGAGAAATTTAGCAGATATTGGGATAGTTTAGAAATGTCAGGTGCATCTTGCTTGGATATGACCGCACAAATCCCAAACTTGTTATACCAACTTGCCGAAATCTAGGCCATAGGCCTTCGAAACCTCCACGACCCACACCCGTGGCAGCGGGGCTTTCCTCCTGCCGCAGGGCTTGCAAACAGCAAGATGAGCTAGTGGCTTCGTGCACTGTCAATGCCTCCATGGAGCACAGGAGGAGTCCAAGCATCCGAGTTGCTATGCACTGCCTGCGTAGGCCACCTCAGGCTTGTACAGTGCGCTTTCGCAGCCGGCAGAGGGGAAGCGCGGCCACCTTGCCAGAAAAGCTGCCGGGACATCCTTTCCCGCTTGCGCAGTTCGTCTTGCAGCCCATATACTTCGACGTTTCGCGCCGCTCTTCACGGCGAACTGTCTGACATCCACTCAACTGTTACATTGGGCTGTCAAAGCTGTGCACGCACCCGCCCCTCTCCTCGAAGTCAACCACAAAGGGCGACTTTTGTCGGAGATGTTTGATTTCAGATGCTTCATTGGGCAAGGTTGGGGAACCTCATTCAGATAGATGACTGGTAATCAGGCTTGGCCTGACCTGACCTTGGCTGTTCAAGCACCCTTGTAAAGCTGCGTTCTACCGAGAAGGTACCAAGCAGCAGCATGAAGCTACTTTGTTTTGAAACTGCGTAGCGTTTCGTTCTGTGCATCCCGCGTGCCGTGGGCTTGTTGGAACACTGCGCTTTGAGCTGGAGGGTGAGACCGAGCTGCTCTCCAAAGTCTCCCGTTTAGGATTCGGTAAGTTGAGATCTTCCCCTCTTGCTCGTGGATTTCAAGAGGCCGAGGAGATCTCCGAAAACATATTGAAGACAACATTTAACCGAACCTAACCCTCAGGCATGCTTGGCATAAGTTCCTCGGTTGCAGAGCCTCATTCTCAATCAGATGCAAGGATCTGCAAAAACTGAGCCTTTGCACTTCCGTGACCGTTTGCTTAGTCCCAGCTGGAGATGCCAGGACTGGTGCAGTTTTCTGATGCTTGATCTAAACAGTGGTGGAATTCAAAGCCGGATGGACAGCACCACCCTGGCTGGGCCAGTGAGGATGCTTGAGGTCCATCAGCATGCGGAGCTCCCTTGTCAGGGACCGACTGTTACCCATCGCTTCCCCGGCGACCATCCACTTGTCTAGCGATTCCGAAACCCCGATGTAGCCTAGCAGGGGCAAGCACAAAGCTGGAAGATCGAAGACCATGCAACAGATTCTCATCAATGAGAGAGCCTTTGGTAAGCGTCATCTTCCAAGCTTTGCTACCTTTTTGTTTCTGGACAGTTTGCCATGCGACCCGCTAGTCAACACAGGCTTTGTCACAAAACGGCAAATTGTCCAGCCTGTGAGCATGTGAAAGTGTCAGATGTGGATACGAGTTTCAAGGCTTGACATCCGGAGCTGTGTGCGGTTGTGTGGAAAAAGACCGGCCGCTCCTGCGAAGCCCTGCTGGGCCTCGGCGACATGATCTTGCCGGTTCCCGGCTGAGGCCAGCAGGGCAAGCACAACCTCTCGGGAGACCGAGTCAGGGAAACATGTACAATCTAGACTCACCATCGCGATTGTCCAACTGCAAGCTTAGATGCTTGCAGGAATCTAAGTCCCTACATGGAGCATTGAAGCAGGACCGATAGGCATGCAGTGGGGTTTCGGTGGGAGTCAGCCTCATGCTGTGGAGCCAATCTCTGGCGGCAGTAAAGCGATGGACGCAGCATAAGTCTTTGAGTGTTGACATGTGTGTGTGTGTGTGCCTATGCAGCATAATCCACTGAAATGGCCTTTTAAGTGCTTAGCGGCAGCTGGAGATCACCAGCCCGACTCCGAAGACTCGCGGGCTCGTGAACGCATTGTCACAAACCACCGGGATTGCGTTTGTTGCAGCAACCATGTGCAGGGAGAGACGACAAAGGCCTGTACTAATTACTGTCACATCGAGTTAATGACTGCTGTGTCAACGTATCTTTGTTTTCTTCGACAACACCTCTGTCGAAACCGCTTTCACATCTGTATACGGTCCGTCAAGTTTGAGCCGCCGTCTGACGCCTCGGGGCTCACACACGCTTATGTCCAGCCTGCGAAGTCGCGGCTCATCCTGAAAAGCCTTCTAAGAGGGAGGAAGCATGTGCAGCAATGAGCTCAGCACAGCGGCACATCAGACAGACTCGACTAAACTCTGAAACATTGTCGTAGATCGAAGCATGCCACAGATACAAGGTAATGTGACGGCCTGTGCATGGCTCATGTGGCCTTGCATGGCAATCTCCCTCAGCCCCGTCCGGGCGGATTCCCAAAGGAGCAGCGCGCTCCAGGACCAAGCGGACCAAGTCCGGATGCAGCGACCCTCCAGGAGCAGCTGTGGCTGCAATGAGAATCGAACAGGAGAAGCGTCGTGAAGCACCCAGCAGCGAAGCCCTCCCTTTCCCTTTCCCCGTCCCCAATCCCAGGATCTTGCGCTTTCATGACTCATGCATGCGAGCAGAGGCAGAGGCGCCCGAGCCTCAGCTCTCGCCCGGAAGGGCTCCACACAGCTCTTGGGACAGCACCACAAAAGTTTGTGGCATGCAGAAACGACTGACCACTCAGAACATATAAGAGAAGCAAAGTGGACCAGATGCAGACACAGGTCGGCCGCCTCAGCGCAGAGCTTTTTCGACTTTGATGACCTGCCTCCAGCCGGCCCGGACCTCGAAGTCCGTGGAGCTAGACACAGACTGTACACCGTCATGTCTCCCGAGACTTCCAGGCTTGTCTCCACAGACAGTCGACTTCTTGCAGCCACAGGCACCGAAGTCTTTACAAACCCAAAGGAAGCTTCGATGTGCGCACTGTGCTGCTGAGTTAGGTCAGTCGAGTGAGTAGTTTGGGTGATGGGCGCTCATTCACAGGCGGTAGTCAAAAGGACAAGATTATTAGTTTCTGACACGACATGACCCGAATCGAGATCGGCATCATTCTTGATCTGACACATGCCGGTGTCCAAACATCAAGAAAATCTCGCACATGTGTATGTAAATACATGTACGCACATACATGTGCATGTATACATATGCATATATATGTATATGCATACGGGCACGTATAGAGAGAGAGAGAGAGAGAGAGAGAGCACAAAGCAAAGAGAACAATAGACAGAGTTCCACCTTGTTTCGTACATGTCAGTAGGATATATTCCACGTAGGACATGTTCCACAACTCATGCCTGTGTTTTCGGCCCATTAGAATCAATCACGTATACGTCTTCGCCGAGGTGGTCTGTCGAAGCAGGGTGAACAAATGCTTGTTGCTGCGCGGCCTTATAGAGGTAGTTCGCGGCCTAATCAACTGCAGAAGTGTCCAGTAAAGGCTTGAAAAGCAGAGGACAATCCGTAGGAATTAGCGGCGAATATGCAATAGGCTTGACTTCCCAGCTGCTGTCCAGGATTACAGGGGTAGTGTCAGGGGCCTGGTGGGTCCTTGGAACCCTCGTGCAGCTTGCCCTGCGGTCAATCTGATCGACCTTGCGCGACAGAAGTCCTGTAGCGTTTCTGCTGGGGCGGTTCGCTCATTTTGCCTTGCTGCCATCTTGAACCCGTCGCCTGCTGCTCCAGAATTCCTCCCGTCCGCGGCGTCCTTGATGTCGGCAATCTTCTTGCTGGTGTACTCCGCGATCGCGACCTCCTACGCGTGTCAGAGGGGCTGCGCATCGAATCATGAAAGTTCGCACGCGTCCTGGCGGGCCTTCAGTCGCCCACACGCTCTGCAGAGCGTACCCTGCACACAGCGCCAGTGTCGGGCCATTCGCCCTTCAATTGCGCGCCCAAGGCCTGACAGCCCCATGCAGCGGCATTTTGCTCAAACTACGCCATCTTGTTGCAAGCCTTCTTGTAGAAGGCCCAGAGCCCGATGTTGACCAACTGCTCTTTCTGCAGAGCTCAAAGTCCCTCTGGCTACGGCCAAGCCGTGCAGGACTTGATCAGGTGGAGCCAGGCTCGCCCAGCTGCATTGGCCAGTGGCCAACTATTCTCGTTCTCAGGCCTCAATCATCGTAGGTCTTAACGGACAGTTTCCAGCTAGTTTTGCTTCTCTGCACATTGATATGAGCAGGCTATCATGTCCGAGCTGCGACCGGGTAGAGAACATCTCCCTTGAAGTGCTTGGCCAAGGGGTTGTGGAGAAGCCTCGTGAAGCCACCGGACAGTGTGTCCCATGCATCTCCATGCAGCAACCAAAGCGAGAATGAAAAACGTTGCCACAATCGCTGCGGAACAGAATGGCCCGCGTAGACAAGGGGATTGTAGCGTTGGCGAAGAGGAGGCGCCTTCCTTCGTCAAAGGAGGAGTGGGCAATGGCCAGTCGCTGCTTTGCCTTCGAGGCCTGCCTCATACAAGGACAAACCATCATTCCGCCCAGGTGAAGGAACGGGGCAGTCACCAGCACGTTCAGCTGTAATTGGGTCCGCCAGCCGGAGGCTTCTTTGTCCCTTCGGGAACCATTTCTGCTTGACTGCTCGGACGCCCTTACCACGCAACGCCAGCATGCACGTAGGGTGGAGTTGGATCCTGAACGCTGGTGTGAACAGATACATGTACATTCATACATACATGCGTACACGCCTGAAGACATACAGAAATACATACACCTGCATGGTGCGCGTGTGCCCCAGGAAGCGCGTTTGGAGGATGCGGAGCAAAATCCCGTGCATGGCCCAGAAGCTGGCGAAGAGTTTGCTTGACGTCGTTGGGCTTAGCCTTAATTTAACTTTCAGCGACCTATACATGTCCGACGCAGGACGGCTCAGTTGTGCAAGCGTTTTGTAACTCAGATCCACGGGTAGGACAGGCATGGACAGGCCTAATGCTCTGATGTGCATTAGCAAGGCAGCAGCCCAGAAGGCTTACCGACTGAGCTTGCGATCGTAACTGAGTCGTAGGTGGCCCGAAAGTCGCCACTCATGGAAGGGGTATCTGCAGCGTGGCTTGCAGAGATTCTGGACAGAGACGATGTCAGCAACGTTGCTTGTGAGGACATGAGTGGCACGGGGGGTCTCAACTGCCCGATGACGCGCCTCCTTGTAACCTACGAGGATGGTGGCAAGGCCAGCTTGGTGCACAAGCGGCATGATGCTGACAAGCGCGACATGAGCAAACAGCTCGGGCTGGCGCGGGAGGCACTCTTTTACAAGGCACGCTGTTTTGCAAAAGCAAGCCTTCCGATTTCGTGGTTACGACAGTGAGCTAGTGCGAACGAGCCGGAACCATGAGGCCTTCGCATCCAACGAGATCTTTCGTTCGGTACTGCCGAAAGTTTGGCACGCTGAGGGCGACATGTCCACCGGAGAGAAAACCATAATTATGGAAGATCTGGGTGATGCGATCCAGAGCGGCTACTTCTTCGGGCCAGTGTCTCCTCACAACTGGGACAAGGACCTTCTGCAGAAAACCAGGGGTTTGTCTGCCAAGATCTCGGCGCTGGAAGTGGCGAAGGTCGCTGCCAGAGCAGCAGCAGACGTACACTCCTCCTTTTTCCGGGACGTTGAGCTGGCTAAGGACGGGTTTTCCTGGCTTCGGGGATCGAGATGGATTTCAGGAGAGGGGCAGGAGCTTTGGGAAGCGTACCAGGGCCAGAGCCGAGCCGCTTGGGAGTCCTTGGACTTTGCCAATTCCGGTGTTCTTTGGGACCCGTTTCTGCGAGAGTGCATTGATGCTGCCATCGGACGTGCCAAAGCGGAGAACGGCGGATTTCCGTCGTTTTTGGCCTGGATGGAGAAAGCACCATGGAGCCTCGTTCATGGAGATTTCCACCCTGCAAACTGCATGCTGCTGACACCTCCAGAGCCTGAAGGCCTGCAGGAGTCCAGGCGGCCTGCTCGCAGCCAAGACCGTTTCCTACCCATCCACGATCGGTATGTGCTGTAAGTTCAACTTGTGTGCTTAGATTGTGGGCGAAAGTCCCATGTTTTGCTTGGTCTACAGCGTTCTAACATCCACACCACACTCTTAAGGTTGATTTTGCTGGACTGGGAGAACGTGGGCGTGGGCTCTGGGCCACAGGAAATCGCTCAGTTCCTCATCTCGCACATGGATCCGGACCTGCGAGCTACTGTCGAATCAGAGGTGCTCCAGGAGTACTACGGCTCGCTGATTTCCCGTAATCCTCAGATTGCGCAGGTGATGAGCTACGATGAGTGACTCGCCTCCCACTTGCTAAATCACAGGGTTTCTTCCACCAACTTCTTGTTACTTGAGGCCCTAGCCCGAAATAGCCCAAAATCCTCACAAGATGCATCAAGTCGAGCGTTGTCCGGGTTGGTTTTTGCCATGGCTTGTAAAGGTGCTGGCGCGAGTATGTCGCGGGTGGTGTTGGCAAATGGACCTGGTTTATGCCTTTACTGGCCAGCGGCTGCCCTCCAAAGATGACCCAGTACTTTCACGACCAGCTACTGGCTTTCTTGAAGACTCACAAGCTTACGCCGGAGACGATGCCGATGCCTCGCTCTTGATTGGTGTCCGGGTTCATGACGCCGGAATGTCTCCCACCGAGCAATTTGCCGCTGTGGCGCTTGCAACGGCAAGGACAGTGCTCAGGGGAAAGAGAGAGTGCGTGCGCGGCACGAGGCACAGTATTTGCAATGTAGTTTCAAACGAAGTTCTAAGAGGTTGAGTACATAGATAGCATGCTGGACCATAGACTGTGAGACAGAAACCTCTTTCAAGCTGTTATACGAGAAGCGATTTGCCTGCAGTGCACCTACTCTGTTCCCGTCCTGCCTGGTGGTACAATTTGGCCGACGAAGCACCAAGTTGCTCCCAAACAAGGCTTGTCCCATGTGTGTGTTTTGAATCCTTGCCTTTTGACTGAGGCTAACGTGGAAACGCAGGAGCCACAGGCCGCCGAGAAGCCGAGAGCTATGCAAGGCACAGCTTTGCAGCAGTTCGCAGCATCGCAAAGAGGGAATCGGACGAAGCAGCCATTTGAGGTCACGGCCTCGTTGTTTCCAAAGAGCTTGGGCAGAAGCTCGCCATGATGGAGCCACCTAGCTTTGTTTTCAGCTAGCCGTTTCGAAGGAGATGTTTGGACAGGAGCAGTACATGTTTCAAAGCAGCCCGCATAGACCGATCACTGGCGGCAGGGAGAACCGAATATGTTGCGAAGCCGATCTAGAAGATCCGAGCTGGATGTACGCTGGCAAGTGTAAGAAGCTCCAATTCCAGGCATGAAGAGACTCCGCCAGACTCTCCTGGGGATCTGCATGGTCCACTGGATGAGAAGTCTGCTCTGGCGTGGCTTGGCTTGCTGTAGCGGGATGGTGTGTGTGTGTGTGTGTGTGTGTGTGTGTGTGTGTGTGTGTGTGTGTGTGTGTGTGTGTGTGTGTGTGTGTGTGTGTGTGTGTGTGTGTGTGTGTGTGTGTGTGTGTGTGTGTGTGTGTGTGTGTGTGTGTGTGTGTGTGGTGTGTGTGTGTGTGTGTGTGTGTGTGTGTGTGTGTGTGTGTGTGTGTGTGTGTGTGTGGTGTGTGTGTGTGGTGTGTGTGTGTGTGTGTGTGTGTGTGTGTGTGTGTGTGTGGGTGTGTGTGGGGTGTGTGTGTGGGTGTGGTGTGGGTGTGGGTGGGTGGGTGTGGTGTGGGTGTGGGTGGTGGGTGGGTGTGGGTGTGGGTGGGTGGGTGGGTGTGGGTGGGTGTGGGTGGGTGTGGGTGGGTGTGGGTGGGTGTGGGTGGGTGGGTGTGGGTGGGTGTGGGTGGGTGTGGGTGGGGTGGGTGTGGTGGGTGTGGGTGTGGGTGTGTGGGTGGGTGTGGGGGGTGTGGGTGGGGTGGTGGGTGGGTGGGTGGGTGGGTGGGTGGGTGGGTGGGTGGGTGGGTGGGTGGGTGGGGGGGGGGTGGAAGGAGGGCGTTCATAAACGGCCCTCGCCTCTCAGTCATGTATTCAGTATATCTCAGTTCTCTTTCCAATGCCAAGGCTGCTCCGCGGCCGGGCCGACCCCAACGCCGCGCTGGGCGCGCTGCGGCGTACACCGCTCTTCGCTGCTGCGGAGCGGTGCCTTGGCCAACTCCAACTGCAGTGCAGACGCCGAAACAGCCGAAGTGAGGTGCAACATCAAGCTGATTGACAGCCTGCTCAAATTTCGGGCTGACGTCAATCGAGCCGATCTTGCAGGAGGGGCACCGACGTTTGCTTGACATTGCTCGGCATGCAGACGATGCATGGAGCCACTCCGTTTGCAAGGCGAGACACCACTCTTTGCTCTCTGCCATGCGGCTGCCTGGGCTGATGCTTCTCTCCGCAGCCGCCGCGCCGCAGTGCAAAGGCTGCTGGAAGGTGCACTTGTCCGCACCATTGTTTGAGATCCAGAAAATGAACAAGTACATATGAACAGTGCAGGAACGTGAACAACAGCTCAGAAGTCGCGACGAAGTGCCAACTGAGGAAGAGCAAAGTATGCAGAGTCAAGATTTCAACGGTAGCTTGAAAAAATAAAAGCATACCAGGTTTTAGGTCTTTGGTTCCTGCATGAACCGGCCCAGCCTTCATTGAGCCATGATCTGATGGTTTGGCAGCCGAGCAGTTGCAAGAAAGGCGAAGCTGACATCGATTTCGCCAACCCTCGAGGGCGCACGCCGCTCCATGCGGTGCACCTCCTGGAGCCGTTGGAAGTGCTATGAGACACTTTGCACAAGACAGTGAGCCGTAGCGTTCTCGCCAAGAACTACTCCTGGTCCTGAACAACTCGCCTACATATGTTCGGAAGGCGATCACAAGCGGTGATGTTGCAGTTCTTTCGGTCCTCTTGGAGGACCGGCAATTGAAATTTCGGATGACATCCTTGCAACCCGTTCTGCGAGGATGCTGCGAACGTGAACGCACGTGATTTGGGTGGCTTCACAGCCCTGATGTTACCGAGCTGAACTAAGTCGCGACAGAAGAGGTTGTCCTTCGCAAGACATACTGAGGTGGGCTGCTGGGCGGGGCAACGCAGAAGTTGTCAAAGCTCTGCTTACAGCTCGGGCCAACACCGCTTTAGCCGCGAACCGTGCTCTCCTCGGCTTTTCGGAGACAGACACCGTGTTCCAGTCTAATTGCGCAGCGGCGATCTCAAACATCACGCAGTAGATACCTACGCACCCGGCTCCGAAACACCACCACCGTCGACATACATACAGCTCTTGCAGCAAAACACCCCGCTGTGGTTGATATACCGGCCGCACTCCGCACGCTGTGCCTCAGATGTGAAACGAAAATCCAGCTGCAGATCCTTTCAATCGGAGTTGCATCGTGCTCCCAGTTGAAGGAGCGCATAGCGGGGTTGTGTTATGCTGTCATGCTGGGATCCATGCCGTCCCACTGATGGCCTTGGAAGCGGTCCAAGGTGGCGAAACAGCTATGCTCTTCGCGCTCACCAACAAGTGCGAGTCGGTGTCGGGCCTGGCCAAAAATCACGTCGACGCACGACCTCCCGAGTTTGCCGAGGTGGTCGAGACCCTTCAAGACGCCGGCCAGCCCAGAGAGGCTCGGAAACGGTGCGGCGGCACCCGACTGCCTGAAGTTGCCTGAAGTTGCCTGAAGTTCCTAAGTTCCCTGTCGCCTTTCGGAGGGCAAGGCCGCCGCAGCCGCCCCCCCAGCTTGCCGCAGGCCTCTGCTTTGGAATTCTTGAAACAAAAATTCTAGCCGTACATTGCTACCAGTACACGTAGGATATGCAAGTCCCTAGCTGCTGGCTCTGGATCTTGCTGGCTCCCGGCAGGCATGAAGATCAAGAGCCAGCTGCCTTCATGGGTCAGGCCCTTCTGGCATGCACGTCGCTGCTTCATGGAGCAATCAATCAATGGCCGCTTTGAGCAGAGGTACGCGCAAAGTTCGCACCCGATCTAAGCTCCAATTCCTATGCGGAGAAACCAACCGGACGCAGCCGAGAGTGGGAGCTTTCTCGTGCGTTTTGTCTTTTCCAAGATGCACCACCAATGGAGCTTTGGAAAGCATGTCTCCCGGAATGCTACAATGCTTCGCGCCGCAGCATTGCGAGTCATCAACGTGTGGACTTTGGCATATTCTTACTTCTGCAGCCCGGTCTGTGAATGCCTTCCGGAGACATCGCGCCATGGCGTGCTGCAGTGAGCAATGCCCAACATCTACGTGGACCTTCGCAGAGGACTGCCGGTCAGAGACGGAAGAAGGTCGGAGGCGCGCAGCTGCTCTGGATCCATCGATTTGCAGGACCCTGTGGTCGGCCACGAGATGCAGGCACCAATTCGCGTTGACGGTGTGCATGCGCATGCAATATGAAGATGCTGTGCGTTGACGAAGAATGCTCTTTGTGCGTGTTTTGTTTTCTTCGTGCACTGTTTCAGCTGGTGCATTTCTGCTTCCGGGCAGAGCTGCTGTCACAGTCATGGTAGCAGCTTGAGTCTGGCCGTCGCTTGTCATCACACTCCGGCACACACTGCTGCAGCCACGGAACCTTAAAGACTTCTGAAGAGTGTTCATAGGGAACCAAAACCAGTGTGGTGCCATCTCCGTTACCTGCGAAGGGGCATTGGGGCAATCCCCGCAGCTCGCTGAAGAGGACACCTCATGCAACTAGGATGGCAAGACTGAGGTCACGGTAGGGCTCGTCGTTTGGGTGAGATATGCTACCTGACCTATGCAGAGCACACAATCAGCACTTCACATGGAAGCCAGCTCAAGGGATGTAATCTTGAGGCGATGCCGAACGGCTTCCGCCATGATGTCATGCTGTGGCGCCTTGTACTTCGCGTGGACAATGTGGAGGATGACAGCATCTCACTGCGAGTTGCTGCACGTCAGGCCAGGATGGACAAGTTCTCGTGAGCAGCGCTCGAAAGTATCGGAAACCAGAATTTGCACAGGAAAATGGTCGGATCCCGCCCTGGGCATGGACAGACCAGCTTCCAGCCTTCGCCTTAAGTCTTAGTGGGCACAAGCCGTTTGCAGAGTCTTGCATGGCTGCAGAAAGCCTGGATCTTCCGACGTGTTGCCTGTCTTCAGGTTCAAATCACATTGAGGACTGGCTTTAGTTCTTGTGCCTTCTTAGCCGTGCAGGGAAGCAACGAGCTGCTTGCAACCCATGTGCAGGAGGACACTCCACTCCGAGCCGATGCACAGCCACGATGTCATTCTCAGCCGCACTGAACCGGTGGCATCGGTGACATTGCGGTCCTGCAGGATCTCAAACTCTCGCTGGTGCAAGAGCAATTGGTGAGAGATGAAGCCCCTGCCAGGGTGGAACTAGCCGCCGTTGCGGTGGCGACATCACAACGGCGCTGGACTCTACAGGAGGGACGGTTCTTCGAATAAAGAGGTTGTCAAAGAGTCTCCGCTGAACAAGCACGCAGATTCTTCGAGAGACAGCGCAATGCTGTGCAAAAGGCCTATGCGCACTTGGACAAGCAGGGTCTAGGCGGCTGCAGGCCGGACCGGAGCGATGCAAAAGCGTGCAGTTTCTTTGCAGCTGTGAGAGGTATGGACTCCTGCTTCCACTGCCGTACAAGCTCCGAGAAGCCTCCTCTGTTGCAAGAAGATGCAAGCGGAAGGAAGGCAAAGATCAGAGCTGAGGCCAGCGCCTTGAACCTCGCAGAGCGCCTCGGCCGTGTCGTAGCGGATGTGTGCAGTTCACTCCTCATGGCTTAGGTGTCCAGCAGCCCTTAGCTTGCCCATCGCAGCTTTGAGCCCGGAGTTGGACGATATCGAAGCCCACCAGAGCGATCAGACAGGCCCTGCTGCCGTGCTAGCGCTGATCGAAGCAGTCACAGCTCCGCGAGCGGCAAAGGCACGGATGTGTGGGATCCTGGGATCGTCCTCGCTTCTGCACTCCCGCAGCTCCTTCCGGGATCTGAGCAGCTGGGCTGAACAGCTTCGCACACACGACATCCGACGACCAATCACGACCGTGCGCTCGGCGCTCTCAGCTTCAGGGAACTGCCTTTGGAGCTGCTCGAGCTGGGAGCGGGCCTTGGTCTCCTCGGCGTTGTCGCCGCGCTCCTCGGCCGCTTGGACGCGAGACTTGGGATTTGGGATGAGGTTTCCCTTTCCGCGCATTCCTTGCTTCTGGTGCCTGTGTGTTGTGTGCCGGAGGGAGTAGCTGCAATCAGGCCACAGCTGTACCTCAACAGATCTCGAAGCCGTTCATGCAGCTTCTCAGAATCCGGACAGCTGCTTTCACATTGCATGCAATCAATCATGCTCTGAAAGCGAGCCAAGGCCTCTTCTGATCAGTTTGCGGCTGAATGTGCAGAGCTTCTGGCGCTGTCTGGCTGTTGCTGGCAGTGGAAGGCTAAAGCAACTGTCCGAGCTCCAAACTCGCCTGCGCGCAAGCGCGCAGGTCCTCGACTGGTCTGAGCCGCCAGACTGGGCATTGGAGAGGTGCCTTCCAACATTTTTGCTCGCCTGCATGAGATGGGACTTGGTGAAGATGGATGCAGGACATGGGACGTCTTGTTGGGGGCCGACCTGCTTTGGTACGCCGTTGGCCATGATGTGACCCCAGCACCTCGGAGCTGGGCTGCCAGGTCGGGCACAGTTGAATGTTGGCACGTTGGGGGGCACTGCGCCCGGTCCACGAAGGAACCCATGGTTCAATGTTCAATGCGAAGAATCAGCACTACAATGCCACAACGCGTTTGAACCCTCCGAGAGGCTTCAGACCCCGTTGCTGCGGTTCATTTCACGGCTGCGATTCACAGAGCTCCTCCTTGCAGAGCGTGAGCGCGATGTGGAGGCCTCATCGATTGCCAGTTGCCGAGTCAGCGCTTGTTGGTCTAAATTGGTTCAGTTTTGGACTGATCACTTTGAGGACAAAATTGGATGCCCCTCCCAAACGTGTCTAGAGTCTAGATATGTTTATGCAACCTGTCTTGCGCCAACGGTCGACAGGCCACCGAGGAGTTCTTCCAAGTTCTGGACCCCGGACTGCAATTGGTTCATGAAGTTCAAAGCAGACACGGACCTTTGAAAGACCACATCAAGAATTGAGCGGATGATGTCGTTTGTGCTGGTGTGGCCATGCAGTTCGACTTTCGTGCGATTGAAGAACATACCACGCATGTAACAACTGCGCTGAGCTCGTGAGAATGACCTTAGAGCCGTAGAGGGTGGGATGCAACTTAGCATCGACACTTGAGCTGCACATCGGTAGGCCCTGCAGAGTGGTTCTGAAGTTACGCGGCATGAAGTTCGGAGACATGGTACACCTTGACGGTTTCACGCGGCCCCCCAATGTTCACAGTGCACCAATGGCACACGCCAAAGATGAGCTTGGCCTCCTGCTTTCTACTGTCGTTAAGGACCTGTTTGGTTTCGAAGCACGTCGAATGGCCCTACCTGGCGGCAAGCAAGGCTCCCTAACCGCAGCTTGGAGTGCAGAGTCTATATGCATTTGTAACTGGTTTCTGGGTCAGAAGCGGAAACTGACATCCTCCGCTTGTCTCTGTCCCTCCCAGCACCCTGCAGGAGGCCGTTGATGTCGCCATCTGGAGCATTCGACACTCCTGTCTCATGGAGCCTTGAATGAAATTCATGGGTACCGTGGCAGTGCCAAGATGTCGGGTGCTCCTCTGGGCAGTCTGCTTGGCTGCCCTAAAGCTAGCTTTGGGTCCAAACAATGAGAACCTGACAAAGAATTGCTTGGCACCGTACCCTCAGATCCCGTGATCTCCAAATCACCCTGCCTGGCCAAGACCGTGCCGGCGTCCATCTGGAGCAGAGAGGCTGTGACGAACGAGGACAGCGTGTTTAACTTCCCGGTTCCGGGAGTACCAGAGACCGTGCGTGCCTGCCAAAACCTACAAAGCGACGAGCTGGGAGCGGTGGTCTGGGACGCTGCGGTGTTTCTTGCTTGGTTTTTGTGCCAGCACCTTGGCTGCCAAGTAGCCAACATCTCGGCCTCTCCAACATTCCCAGAATCAAAGCCGCGGTCAGATTCTGCAAAGACTCGTTTCGTGCTTCCAGGAACGATTGGCTCTGCCAGAATGCACGCATCCTGGATGTCGTTAGGTGTTCCTTGTTGCTTTCGATGCGAGCCGCAAGATCGAGCACCCGAAAGGAGCTTGCAAAGCCATGTATATGCTACGGAGGCTATGGACGTCGACAGGTGATACGTAAATCTTGATAATGTACTTACATACTATATACGTAATAATATAGCAGAATCATCACGGTCATCATCTTCATCATCACCATTAGCAATGTTGAGAAGAGCAATAGTACAACTGATACGAGTAAAAGTTAGTATTCGAATAATCATAATAAATGATACAGATAACGACAAGACTGATGGTAATGGTAACAAAATAACAAGAATAGTAATAGAGTAATCATGAATATGTGTGTATATATATATATAAGTATTGATATTACTACGAATAAACATAAAAACCAGTAGTATTTCCAACAACATAAAACAGTGATACACTGAAGCAGGAGACTCGCATGCAATCTTGCAACTATGCACACCACATAACGGTTTATCTCTTCAAACTCCCCCCTCTTTTTGTTGAGGCATCCTGGAACTTGGCGCCGGCACCGGTCTCGTTGGCCTGGTTGCAAAGGCCTTGGGTGCAGAGGGAGGCCTCCTCAGCGACCTGCCAATGCTCGCTCCGGGCTGAGACGTCGGCTGCTACTTGGGGCCATTTTAGGGCATCAACCTGGCTTTTGGCCTTGACCCTCTCACTCATGCATATTATGCTCTCGGCGGGCGTATGACAGCAGAATGGTTCAGAGTGCTCAAAACTGAGCGTGAATCGTGGTTGCCTCAGGTGCCTTTGTTGGAGGATAGCGCCTTGTCATGCTCAGTTATGCTTCAGACATTACTGACATTACTGCTCGGCAGTCCGCATCAGTCCGCCAGCTGCCATCACGGACATTGCATGTTGCGCTTCAAGGTATATCTTTAAATGCTGCGTGGGTAGAGCTGGAGCCTAAGCCGTTGGCGTGGGCTACTGACACGTGCTGCGGATTCAGTTCCGTTGCGGAAGCCATCAGGGACATGGCAGCCATCAGTTTGGACTGGGAAGACCCAAAGTGTGTGAAGAACATCCGAGACATATTCAAGTGCCGCGCTCAGATGGGAAGGGACGACGTGTGGAGACGGACGGGGAGAAATCCAATGCCAGAGCTGCAGGCCTCAGCTGCTACTCCTGGCAGCCGATGTTGTCCATGAGCGAGTTCCCTACTTGGCCTTGCTGGACCGGAAGCATTCATCCTGCGATCCCCCACAAGCATCCACCTAGCAATTTCAACACGATCTTAAGCGCACCCAGCAGTGAGGAGACAATCCGGCACATATGTGATCTCCGAAGCCCCATGGCCACAAGGCTGCTGCAAGGGTTGCCGGGAGGGGAATCGGAGAGAGGGTCTGTCACGCTGCCCTTCAGATTTGCCTGTCAGTTGAGCATGCCTCTCAGTTTTTGCCTCCCTCTCTCTCTCTCTCTCTCTCTCTCTCTCTCGCTCTCGCTTGCATTACTGCTTCTTCACGCTTCTCTTGTTAGTTTCAACCTACCGACAAACTCGTGGCCGGTGTGTGGTAAACGGTCGTCTTGTCGCCTGTTGTTGTTTTCGGCCCAGTGCATGGACCCTTCCAAGTCAGAGCGATGGCAAATGGCAAATCGGCAGGTAGAAGTGACAAACCCTCGATCCCAAAGTCGCCTAACGCAGACATGGCAAAGTGTGAAAGCAACAGACCGAATGAGTGTGTGGCAATTCCTGAAGCAGCTGAAGCACATTTGGGTCTTCAGCACACGTCTAATCGCTCCACATCCTGCCAGACTGCTGCTAGCTCACCAGGACCGACAGCCGTAGGCCCAGACTTGAAAGACGGACATGCACATCATGCTTTCTGCTTCTCCCTCCGAACATGGTGAGCTGAGGCCGGAGCACACAGACCGATTCCTTGAAGCTGCTTTGGAGCAAGGCAGCGCAGGGCAAAGCGGAGCCCTGTGCTGCAGATTCCCACCTTTGCTGCAGGCTTCAGCAGCCGTGTCGTGGCGAGACATGCCAACGAGAAAACTTGCTTGGCGAAGCTAGGCATCGAGGTCAAGAAGTTTTTGGATCTTTGCAGGAGCATAAGCACAAAGATGTAGCAGAAACACCTTATGTATGATCATGTCCGCACTAATGACTCAGGATCTACATGCTCAGTTGGAACGAGCCGGAACTGCATATTTCGTCTTTTCAGAGAGAGCTATCCGTGTGCGCAACATGTGCTGGTGCTTGGTTGCAAACCACCTTGGACTGTTCCGTGGAGCTCAGCCCCAGCGAGATACGGTTCAGCTGGCACCGATTTGGGTGGAAGCGACGGTTGCAGCTTCCATTCCCAGTGGATGTGGAGGCTGCGAGTTGCAGCCTGCATCGGAGACGACGACAACTCTTGGTCGAACTTCGCCACTCAGACAGGGAGATTTGACAGACTTTGAAGGGTGCTCCACCACTTGCCGGAGCTGGAGTACCGGACAGCAACGGCACAGCGCGAGTGGTGAGATTACTTCAAGAGGCCATTTGGCGAAGATCCTGGAGAGCTCGGCCAACTAGACCTGCCCGTGAGAAAGTCATACCAAGAAGGACAAGCAAGCAAAGTTGCATGGTCCCATTGGCATCGTGGCAGCGACAAGGCTAGATACGAGTCTGACTGTGCTACGACGTGCTTGACTTCGATGGGATTGCCAGCTGCAAATGGCAATGACATTCACTCTGAGGCCTAGCACATGAAAGAGACCATGCAAAGAAGCATTGCAGGAGCACCATGTTGCAGCTGCAGTCCCCAAGACTCGAGCCATAATTGCTGCAAGGAATCAAGCTACAGTTCAAGCACTGCCCGGCAAACTTCTTCATCGGTTCTCAGGGTCAGAGGCCTGTAGCCACGCCAGGACATCGGAAAAAGTTTCCGGGCCGACTTGTGCTCGTAACATGTCCATTTATTTCGCGAAATAATCTGCAAGCCCTGGAGCCAGCAGGCAGCAGGCTGACAGACTCTGACCACATGCCCCGAAGATACTTAGAGTATTCAGAAAGCTTGAAGTGTTCAAGAGATATCGTGGTGCTTCCAAGACAAAACCATGTCACATGTTTTTTCCTGCCACTTGAGCCGAGCGCAGGCTTCACGCAGCTTCGACCTGTCCATTGAAGCTCTGTGCTTGGAATGAACCTTGGCACGCGGTGGCATAGTATGCCGCACCGCCATCTGCGCCGCCGATGCAGGAGATGCTGTGAGCGCCACTTCGTTTAAGTCTGTGCATCGGGAACCTCACATCCTTGACAAGCACATACAAGCACTACTGCCTGCTGACGGAGAGCTCTTGCGGTCCCCGCCGTCCTTGTGGATACAGCTGCTGCTGACTTGGAGCGCGTTTTTCCTTCACGGGTCCTGCTGAGAAAGGTTTGTCGCAGAAAGACCAGCTTAGTGGTGTACATGACGTATCAACATGTTTGTGCTCCGGCTGCGCCGGTATGTCGCAGTTCAAGCTTCACTGCAAGCATGCCCGGCACTCCCAATTGCTAAAGCATGATGTAGCGGTGTCAAGGAACTTGAAAGGCGCGCTTTACGACAGCGACCCCGCAGCAAAGACCCCAGCCTGCTAGCCGCACCACATTTGAACAGGAGAGAACACCGATCCCAACACTTCGGACATGAGAGCCTTAAGGGGCACATGGCGTGCTGTCGCGTTGGACCTAGATGGGACCACTCTGAACAGCAGTCACACGCTCACTGCCCGGACAGTGGAAGCGATTCAGAAGATTGAATCTCGGCTCATTCGGGAGGCTGAAGTCCAGCTGCATGACATCATTCTCTTAGGTTAACTTCCATGATGAGCAGTGCAGTTTAGCTAAGGATGCATCAGGAGCCGCTTGTCTGCATCGCTTCAGAAGTAGACGTCGAGTGTATCGGAGCCGCCAAAAAGCCAAGGTCCATGTCATCATTGCAACTGGGCGTCCAGTGCTATCCCTGCAGGCCCGAGCCCGAGACATCCCGAGACTCCGGAGAGCGAAAGAGACGTGACACTTTTCCCTCAGCCCTATGTGACAGAGCTCGGCCTGACGCGACCGGTGCCCACGGTTTGTTTCAACGGAGCCTGCGTGGCTCAGCGGCTTTTGTTGCTCGTCGCACGTTAGATGCCATGGCCACAGTCTCGCCGGTCCAGCCCAGGCGACGCTGGTGGATCCTTGGGGTGAAGGGCAAAAAGTCCTGATCTCACGAGGCTCCAGTTCTGCTGAGTCAAAGACATAGGTGACCATAGCAGATCACAGGTTTGAGCCACTCAGCGACAGAGAGTTCCTCGACGGCAGTAGGGATGACAGGGCTTTAGGTACTCCACGTATCCTGGACATTCCTGGACATTCCTAAACTCTTTTTTGTAGCCTCTCCATACCGACTCCCCCGAGGTATCCTGCAGCTTTGCGATGACCGGGGCTGGTGTGCCAGTTACTGCCAGGCACACGGCACCTCGGTGGTGCCGCGCCCCGCCTGAAAAGTACTGGACTACTAGTTACTAGTTTCCCTTTTGCTAGGCTGCTAGGCTTCCCTCGTGGTTTCAGCACTCAGGAAAACTGAAATCCACGAAGAGTGGCTTCAATCCTTCGAGGAGCTGGAAGGTATGGAGCAGGCGAGAGATTCCTGTCGGGTCTCTTGTCACTGTAGTTTTGCTTGGCTTTGACATAACATCGGCGAATGTCCTGCTCTAGTTGCTTCTCCACCTTTGTCGGCGCACCTAAATTCAGGAGCGCGTGGAAGATTTATGGGAGCTGCTCGAGACAGAGACGCCCCTCAAGGCACGCGAGATTGTAGTGTGTCGACAAAGTTAAGCAGACAAGTTCTGCCAATGTACTCCGACTGACAATCGGCGATCCTTGCAAACCATAACGAGGACCGGGAATGCAGGATCGATTATGTGCGAATTCTCACTGAAGGTCGTTGCGCTCGCCGAGAATCCTGCGGCACAGGCTGCCAAGGCTCTGGCGTTAGCATCGCCGGCAGATAGTGCCGCGGACAATACGCGCGAAGCCGCAAAGCCAACACAAGGAGAACTGTAAGCTCTTGGCCGGGTTAGGGCAATGATAGAAGTGATGGTAGCAGGTTTTTTTTTCAATGAAGGGTCTCCATCACTGCGACAGTCTTGATAGAAAAAATGTGTGTATCGCCAATGTCCGCGATGATCAGAGGCAGTTGTCAATATTCGATTGTCTTCATCGCACTAGTAACTACGGCACAGCATTGCATGGAGGCTCGTGCTATGCTGCCACCTGGAGCGGCCCACGTGGTGGCGGCCGAGCAACATGTAGAGACACACGGCAAAATTTAATTCGGTTCACATAGCATGAAATTCGAGGATACAGTTATATGTACATCGGTAAAAGTATACATGTGCACCTCGACATTTATGTGCACAAATGCGTATATGCCGCATACATAGCATACACACGCATGCATACAGACGGACAGACAAAGATATACATGCTCACAGACATGGGCAGATGCAACGACACACAGAAAGGCAGGCAGGCAGGAATGCATGCAAGCACGCGTCTGCATTTGCATGTGTGCCAACATGTGCAATATCAATATGATGCATATATGTATAGAGCGAGATGCAGGTGCAGCTGTCGATCGGCGATGTGTGCACATTGCAAATTCCGGTGTAATGTCGAGCAACATTTTCTGATAACACGTAACCATTACCAAGCTGAATGAACGTGGTTCTGATTGAAATCACTCAACTACTTGCTTTGGTATGAGAACAGTGTTGGTTTGCTCGAGCTTTGGTTTCTCGATCACGAACTCAGTCGCTCGGATATTTGAGACGTTTGCAGAGCCGCGCAACCTGCTGCTACATTTGTATGGACGTCCTTGCAATACTCTCTGAGATACAAGATACGAGCATGGTTTGCAACAACGGCTAGGCGCGGCTGCGCTCTAAATCCTAAATGCGAGGGGGCCCAGGCCCAAGTTTCCTGACTGAGAAACCATCAGGTTCTTGTCGGCAGATGTGAGCAAAGGCCACTTGGATTGCCTTGGCTAGGTATTGAAAAGCTGTAGTAATTTTGGATGGAATCGCGGGATGCCGAAGCATTCCCTTGGCATCATTTAGCCATGCTGGCATCAGTGGGCACACTGCATGTTCTCCTTTGTGGATGTTTGTGGATCTCCACCCTCTGTCAGTGCTTGTCAGCCGGTGAGGTGATACCCTTCGAAGACTGTGCACAGAGCATCTGGGAATTTCGATGGAGCTCTTGAAGCATTCAACGGGAGGGCAGGGCAACGAAGTGCATCCGCAAGTGAGTGCCTGCTGGGGCTGTGACATAGCTCCTGGCGCACTGCATCCCGAAATTTCGCATCACAGCTGTTCCGCAGCATCACTTCACAAGTGGGCACTCTCATAAATGTTCATCAGGAAGAAGTGATTGCCTTTGGCGACAACTTCAACGATATAGAGATGCACTTGGGTCGCAAGCTGTGAACCATTCTGCTCCTTGCACTTCCAGCAGGGCACACGCCAACACGTTGTTCTGTCTCACTCGCTGTTGAGGCTCCAGTTGGCCGGCCAGGGAGTGGCAATGCAGAACGCCCGCGAGGAGCTCAAGGAGGCGGCGGTAGGATCTGCCAGTGAAAGCCTGAAAGCAGAAAGCTCACTGAAAGCCTGAATGCCCTTGAAGACCATTGCCGCAGGTTGCAAGTAGAGTCAGCGAGTGGAGCAACGATGACGAAGGCGTGGCAAGGCGGGCTTCAGGTTTAGCATTGTGATAATCAAGTTTGTGGAACCCTCCGTTTCTGCTTCACCGACGGTCAGGGAACTGGAGCAGCTCCTCGCTTCCTTCGCAGAGTGAGGCAATTGCAGCGATTGCAAGCAACACCTCTCGTGATTAGGTAGGTGCCCAAAGAAGGCGCTTCGCAGATACAACGGCAGTTTAGTTATGTCTGCCGTGAAAATACAAGATCAAGTCTGGGGATGCTACATTTCCATAAGGACAGGCGATCAACCTCTGCAATTAGAAAAGTCATTCGAAGAAAACGTTTATAATATGTGCATGGCACGCAGTGCTAAAATTAAGAACCTGTATGTTTGCCGGAGGCTGATTCCTCCCTCCCTAACTTGAGAAAAAATACAGTCGTGGCTCGAGGGGTCCCAGAACCGCCAGGGCTACCGGCCCGGTGGGTCTTCGGGACCTAAGAGAAGATCTGCCGGAGCAGCTCAACGGCATGACCTCCGTGGCCCATGCCCTGACTGATACGAACTGACCTCGGGAATTTCAAGCCACCTGGCGTGAAGGGGCAAGGGGGCTTGAGGCTGGCGTGTGAGCTGCCGTCGATGGTGCCTTGGGGACAGTCCCCAGTCTTCGGATTGGGAAATATCTTGGCGGATGCTTTGTGGATGGCGGTCAACCTTGCGCACGTTGCCACGCCCGGCAGTGATGCCGGCCAAAGAGGGCTGACGGTGGTTGGGTCCTCAGGTGGGGCTCCTTTGGAGGTGGCGCGGTTGACCTCTTCGTGACGGGCCCGTCTCTGCGGCGGGCCCTGAACCCCGGCCCCCTGCCGTGGCTGGCCGGCCGCCTTGAGAAGCGATTGGCTCGCAGCCAACCGCTGTGGCGGTGTTGTGAGGTGGGCGAGCCCAACATGGTCTCCGCTACCAGAAAACTGAAACCAATACTATCCCCCGTTGGATTAACTCCTGAGGGAGTATTGGAACAGTAATGATCCCTTGGATCTAAAGGTTGTGCCCTGCTCCCGGTCAGCAAGTTGTTTTATTTGCTACGCAGAGAGAGCTATGGTGTCAAGTAAAACCACGTGAGACAGAAAGGGCAGCGGAATATATACATGTGAGTATGCCACCATGCCATTGCTGTAAGTACCAACCCTTTGGGGCATTTCAGGAAACCGGGGTGGCCTAATCGGAGGGCTTGAAGGGGCGAAGCCAATATTATCCCCCGCCGGTGGACTCCACCAAAAAAAACGTCAAGGTCAACAGTGTGGACCAGGCCGACGAGGCGGAGGTCCAGAACTTAAACCGGACGAGGTGGACGGCTACTTCAAGGCCGGTGCGAACGCAGAGCGAGTCGTCACCCGACTAAGTTTCAGCGCTCAAGGTCAAGGTGCTGGACTTGCAGGGCGGAGCACTTTCCCACAATCCGGAGGAAGCTTCAAGAGGACCACGACCATGGGCTGGAATAAGCCGATATAAGCCGTGGGAGAGAGTAATCCACATGGCGGACCAGGACCACTGCCATCAAGTTCATGGGTTCGGGAAAATCAGCCCAGACCTCGCGTGCCACGATGCGGAGGGGAAGAACGCGAAGCCCCGCAAGAGCTAGGCGGTGCGGCTTCGAGTGAGGCTCACCAAGCAGGGCCGAAGTAGCCTGCTTAGCATTCCGCCCTCGCCCGCGAAGGGGTTCGTCGACTTATGCTGGAGGTGCTTAGGTAGGCACCTGCCATGATGGTTTTCTACTGTGTGAAGCGACACATTCCAGTTTCACCCGATGCCTCTTGTCTCCCATTGCTCACTTCCTTGGTCTTCGTGTTCCTGTGCTTCTGCCTGACGGCTCTGCTTCGTCGTTTCCTTCTTCTGCTGCTCCTCCCCTCCTTTCACGAAACGCAGGCAGCCTATCCCTCAAAAAAAGCTGGAGCGCCACCGGGTGACGCCTCCTGGGGGGTCCGTCTTCGGGGAGCTCTTTGCGGGTATCGGTGGCCTCACGAAGGCGGCGCATGTATCTCTCTAGGGCTCTAGGGACTTGATAGATATCGATACTTTCGTCGCGACGTGAGAAAGGATCTGAAGAAAAAACGTTCGTTTGAGTCTATCTGGCCCAGCTCTGCCGGTCATTCAATTGCGGTAGGGATTACTGCAAGGACGGTTGGATAGGAATGGCGGGATCAGACGCTAAGCCGGAAGGGTGGGGATCGGCAGCGGAGGAAGGCAACCCAACGCTTTCCATTCCGATGTTTTTACGGAGGAGTAGGTCGGGCGGTTCTTCATTATCGAGCACTCAATGCTCTCTCATATGGGGCGTTTCAAGTGCGTAGGAAAGAGAGGCGGTGCGTCAAATTGTTTCTGGATTAGTGTACTGTTGGGGCGGTTGATTTGCATGCTGCTTGTTGGCGAGTGCTTCTATAGTAGTCTAGTGAGTGCAAAAGTGTAGAGAGCTGTTTAAGCATCCCCATGTCTTTGTTGAGAGGAAAGGTGTGGAACAACGTAGAGGGTCGCGAAGCGAAATATTGTCTATTTTTCTATTGGAGGAGTATTTTTAGGGATTATATGATACGACGATGGAAATTTTGATTTCAAATTTGGGTGAGGCGAAGGAGACCACCGCGATTCCGAAATCTTAAAGAGCGAGTATTGGAAGATTGATTTTTATAAGAATCTTTCGAATTTCACAAAATATGATGATTTATCGGATAGGATTCGGAGGGGTCTCGAGCCCGGCAAATATTTTTCTAAGGAGGGACGAGAGAATATGAAAATTATATTTTGGGGTCTAT